GGACAGCCAGAAGAACAAACAGATCTCTTTTGGAAGAATTATGACCAGATTGCTCATTGGAAGTAATGATGTTGAGACTTCATCTCTCATACTTTAAATATATTATTAGGAAAACATCATGCATGGTAAAGTCAGCAAAAAAGAGGAACATTCCCAATGAAATGATTTCACACAATGGTAGCAACAGTGGGTCCAGCGCTTTGACCCATAGCGTCACTTCATAGAATGCTTAAAAACTGGATTTCAATACTAAGGAAGTTAATGGTGTTCTTAAAGGTCTTCATGATGATGGAGTGAGGAAGGTAGAAGTCATCTTGCAGTTGTTTAAAGAGTGCTATTGGGAGTGACTTATGTTTAAATGGAGCCCTGGTGATGCAGTGGTTAAAGTGCTTTGCTACAAATGGAAACGTCTGTGGTTTGAACCACTAGGCACATAACTGCCTGTTCGGAGACCTCAGAGAGGCTGGCAGTGGTTTAGCAAGAGATAATAGTAAGTTAATAATGGGGCAGATGGTGCCCAAACCTAAGTGATTATATTCGCCACATGTGTACATCATTTATATAATCATGGACTCCTGGTGGATAAGCACTGGACTGCTAACCACATGATCGGCGGTTCAAGCCTGCCAACGGCTCTTTGTTAACTCTATGTGTCGGCACCGACTCAACAGCAAGAGATCTCTAAGAGCTGGTGTGGTACTTTATCAATAGTCTTCTTTGACTTACTAGAGGGCACTCCATACTTTGCACATGATATAATCAATCACTGGTACCCTCAAGGTTACTCTACGACTGACAGATAGGTGCTCTCAGTGTTCGTTTCATCATGGCTCCTCCCTGTGTCTCCTGCTACCCTCTTCTTTCCTCTGCCAACCTCCCTTTACCTGTCTCATCACCCATGTTATCATGTGTCTATCCTCTAGCCCATGAGAAATAAAAACTTAAGGTAGAAACAGAAGTAGGCTTTAAGAGAAAGTTTAGGAAACCTGCCTATTCTGTATACTTATATATACCATTGGTGGTGTTGTTAAGTGCAATTAAGGCAGTTCCAGCTCATAGTGACCCTGTATAGGATTTCCAAGGAGCAGCTGGTGAGCTTGACCCTCTGGCCTTACAGTTCAAACCAACGTTGCAGTCCAGTGCATTAACCCTCCCTCACCGTCACTCCAGAACTCCAAGCAGAGTGATAGGATCTGACAAAATAGAATAACAGAAACTGATTCTTATAAGTTTTTTATAGTTTAAAAGAAAAACACTAAAGTTGGGGAAAGGGGAGTGGGGTGGGCATCTCATGACAGATACTTGAGCTAGGCTGAGTTTCCCAATCTTTTCAGATGTGAAACTTTGGGTTGCATACCTTTCCCCCCCCAAGAGACAAAATACATATACATTTCTTGATGTAACACAACTTGCTCTGTGACCTTTCACCTAAACTACTATTTTAAACAATGGTATAATGCAATAACTGTCTTTTGTGGTTTACTTATCTCACTTCAGGTTCACCCCCATTGTAAGATGAATTGGGAACACAGTTTTCTTTTGGCTATACTTAAGAATATGTGCCTTCACACAAAATCTATTCAGGAATGTTTGTGTAACTACTGTTTTAATCATAATGGGCAGATGACCTTCAATGAGTGAATGGTTAAATAAACTGTGCTGCATCCATATAATGGAATATGGTTCAATAATAAAGAATGAACTATTGCTACAAAAAAAAAAAAAAAAAGAGTATGTGCCACATTTTCTTTCTTTATCTGTGCATTGATGGGCACTTCACTTGTTTTGCTATTGGAAATGTTGTTAGGTGCAGTTTAGTCTATTTATTCCAGCCCATAGTGAACCCTGTACAGGGTTTCTGAGGAGCAGCTTGTTGGGTTTTAACCACCAACTTTGATAGATGGAAATCAATATCACCTCACCCCTGCTAAAATGGCACTGAGGTAAAAGCAGTAATCAGCCACTGTTAGAGATTTGCTGTTGAGAATCAATTGCATGCCTTTTAAACATCATTCTAGTAACTGTACTATTTGTGCCTGTTCATTACAAAGGTACTTCAAGAGTTCTTGGAAAAATGGAATTTAAAAATAATGCATTTTCCAACTAACTTTTTAAAGCTCTCTTACATAATGATTTATCTGGAGTGGGATTTAAACTCACGCCTCCAGGAGAGACTGGGACCTGAATGCAGTGCCTTAGACCACTTGCCCATCCTGATTGCAAGTTTGAACTACAAGGCCGGTGGTTCAAACTTACCAGCTACTCATTGGAAACTATGTACAGGGTCGTTATGGGTCAGGAGTGACTCTTTGGCACTTAACAACAACAACCTGCATAATAGAAGAAATGGTATTTTTAATTAATTGATACTTTTTAATAAACTCTCATTTGGCTTATCACAGTAGCATCTTGGTATATTCGGGTGGGAAATAGTGAATATATGGCATGTTCATATTTAATCTACAGTGCTTTGTGCCATGTGGGATTTTGGGTGTCTCTTTGTTTATTGAAAGTTTGCACCCACCAGTTGGATTTTCCTGAAATGAAAATAGGCTTTAAGAAAAAATAAAATAGGATTTCCATAGGATAAGTAGAAGGTAAGGAGGTGGTCCAAAGATCTCAGAAGAGCTGTAAGAAATAGCATGGCTTGTTCTGAGTGGGTGTTCAGAGAGCTGACTTAGCATTATCAAGGAATATAGCCTTACCAGTGGAGTAAAGTACACGAGCTTTGTAGCAGCTGGTTTTGATGCCCGTTGATGTAGAAGATTCTTGGCTATGTTTTGTATTTATGGCATTCAGACTTCTTTTTACCACAGCCATAATAAACAATATTTTACGTCATGGTCCATGTTTTCTATTCTATTTTTGTTTGTGTGTTTCTAAGAGAGAGAGAGAAAGCTTTGTTAGTGATTGATTTTGCAGGCTCAGTTTAAAAACTAGTCCATATAATTAATATACCCAAGATCAGTTTTGGCACTAGCTTACACATTTGGGATAATAGGTTCAGAAGATAAGCGTGGCTCTCATCAGTGTAATGCACACCGCACAATAGCTATTGCAGACTTAATTTTCCTTAAGCCTTATTGTTTTTTCCCCTTCAGTAGATAATCATGTACATTATGAAAAATCAGGGCAAAAGGCAGGCCTATATTAAATTTTTATGGCCAAGCCCTCATGGTGGTGTTGGGCGCCTTTGAGGTTGATTCAGACTCATTGATCCCCATGTGACAGTAGAACTGCCCTATAGAGTTTCCTAGTGGCACTGTAGGATCAGCACTGGACTGTGAAATCACAAGACTGGCAGTTCAAACCTGCCAGCTGCTCCTTGGAAACCCTGCATAGGGTAACTGTGAGTCAGGACTAACTAGAAAGCACTTCACAACAACAATCTTTAAGGAAGCTGATTGCCAAATCTTTCTCCGTTAGTGCTGCTGGATTGGAGTCCAAACCTCCAACCTTTCAGTTAGCAGTTGAGTGCTTAACTGTGTGCCACCAAGGCTCCTTTTTCTTTCCATTTCTATCTGATTGCTCAGTTCATCATCCCTTTCTAATAGATCTAGTCTTTGTACCAGCACCTAGTCTTAAGTCCAGAGGCCTTTCCTAAGTATTAAGGGGAGAACCTGGTGGTGTTACTGATCTACCTCTCTTTTATTAAACTTAATTGTCCCACTACAATCTCACTTCTAACTAGAAAGGGAAATAAAAAGTGTTTACTTATTAAAAATTCAAACTTTATTGAAATACAAAAAGCAGAAAGTATAAAAGATCCCATTATCCTACCCTCCAGAGTTACTGTCATTATGTGTTGGCTTCATGTGTCTAGACATTGTCTTTCTTTATATAAACATGCCCTCAAATTTTTTTCTGTAAGACAAATAGCCTTGTTTTCATGGATACTTTTTCCATTGAGCAATAGATTCCTCATATCTTTCCATGATAGTACTCAGTTTATTACTACTGATCTTTTTCTTATTAGAAATTTTCCTTCTGCCTCTAGAATGTAAACTCCATGGAACCACTAGTTTTTAATGTTTTTTTTTTTTTAACTGCTGTATCATATTACATGGAATAGTACTTAGCACATACTAGGTACTCAGTATATTTGATTAGTAAAGGACGCTGAAATTTTTCAATCCAAAAATGAGTTACTTTTAAATCCCATTTCCCCCTGATGTGAGTTTAAACCATGACCATATACTGTGCTCTAATGGAGCCTATATTGACTAGTAAAAGAATCAGATATGAGAATTACTGTTGTGATAAAGAAATTCAAAGTGGTCAGTGTGATAAAGTGGTTCGTTTAGTTTAGTTCAGGTAAAATTCTAAGGAGCTAATCAAGTTGAGTTCTGAATACTGCTCAGAAAATAGGGAAACGGGGTTATTTTAAACAGGAAACAGCTAGTACCAGGTTATGAGCTAGGAACATAGCACTTTTTGTTCCTTTTTTCTGACTTGATCACTTTGACTTTAGTAATTAATGTTATCGAACTTGTATTTTTCCCCCCTAATTCTTCAAAAACAGTTTCTGATTACATGGCAGTGTTCTGGAACTGTATACTGTCCAGTAACAGTTGTCAGTAGCCACATGTGGCTATTAAATTAAATATAATTAAAAATTCCATTTCTCAGTTGCAATAGACATATGTCATGTGGCTGTTATTCTTGTTAAGTAATATCAAGTTGGTTCTAACCCATGTGAACCCTGTGTATGGTTTCCAAGGAGCAGCTGGTGGGTTTGAACCACAAGCCTGTGGTTAGCAGTCCAGTGCTTATTCTACAGCTCCACAGCAAGACTCCATAGGCAATACCTTGTGAATTTCGTTCTTAGTGCAGTGAAGAGTGTGACAGTAATAATGTGGTCTGATCTGAATGTCTTCATTTACATGGCAGTTTATTCATTTTTAGTGTAAGCCCCACCACTCTTATTTTATGTTTGTTTTAATAATGGTTTACTTATAAACGGGCACTTACAGACAAGAACTTGTGTTTGTTTTTTCCAGTGAAGGTGGTGTTTTTAAGGCTCATCTCACTTTCCCAAAAGATTACCCCCTCCGGCCTCCTAAAATGAAATTCATTACCGAAATCTGGCATCCAAATGGTAAGTTCATGAAGTTTTCCTTTTTAATTTGTGAATATGATGTCCTGTTATGAAAGTGTTCAGGGTCAGTAAGAAAAATGTTGTTCTCAAAGAAATAGCATTGAAATTTTTTTGTACTGAGTTCATTGTGCACTTGACTTTATTCTGGATTCTTTAAAAGAGATGGAGTAATAGATCCTATGGGGGAAAGTGAGTTTTTATTTACTTAGTTTTTAGCACTTTTGTTTTTTGAGACTCAAATGGTGTTCCAAAACGGAGACAGAGTTTCGGGCTGGTATTCGGCATTAATGAAGCTCCTATGATTGAGGTGACAATTTCCAAGGACTAGGTGACTTAAGGAGCTCTGGTAGCGTATTGGTTATGAATCGCTCTGCAAACCGCAAGGGGCAGCATTTCAAAATTACCAGCAGTTCGCAGGAGAAAGATGAGGCTTTCTGCTCCCGTCACGATTTACAGCCTAGAAACCCTGTACAATCTCACCCTGTACAGGGTTTCCAAGGCTGTAAATCGTGACGGGAGCAGAAAGCCTCATCTTTCTCCATCATTCAACCTGGATTCTTGAATAATACATGTGAGAAGGCTTTAAAAAATTGTGGAAAAATTCTATTATCATGCCATTGTGTTTTTCCACACAACTTTTTACAGCACCTTCGTATTTCTTCATCTTAGCTTTTTATACTATTGATAGCTTTTTTTAAAAAAAAATAATAATCTTAGCTGTTAAGAAGGAATGCCCTACCTAACTCAGGGATTGATAGGGTCCAATGTAATGGCATGTGGTACTTTATAGACTTGTAAAGCATCCATTACAACTGTGCATGAAATGGTTACATTGACCCTTCCCCCCTTTTTTAAACCAAAGATAAGCTACTTTTTAAAATCCGCTTCTAGAAGAGAAATAGAACTAGATGAACCTACTTTATAGTTTTTAAACTCATTAACATAAAGTCCCCATTGCCTACAACAAAGTTCAAACCAGCCAAATTCACCATCCAAAATTCTGTTCAAGAATCATACTTTCTAAGAATCATTCCCTGATGACTCCCTCTTCTATGTTAGCCAGAAGTCAGGTCGACTAAGCATGCTTTTATACGTTGTGTCGCTGAGCTTTTGGCCTTGTTCATATGATAGTGCTTGAAAGGATTTCTTTCCTAACTATTTGGACTGTGTATAATTAATCAAAGTTGTGTTTTTAGGCTACTAATCCTGTTGTGGCACTGTAGGATAAACACTGGACTGGCAAGGTCGGGTTTAACTGTATGGTTGGCAGTTCAAACTCACCAGCCACTCCTCGGAAACCCTATTTATATAGAGTCACTATGAGTTGGAACCAACTCGATGACACTTAACAACCACAACATACTAATCCACATTCTGCTATTAATAGTCAAGATTTTTGGTTAAGGAAGAGAAACCCAATTATATTAGATTAAGACGGAATGAATGAACTGGAAAATAGGGAATATAATAATAGAACCCAATAACATAAAAAAGAGATGGAAATTTTGAGAAACTTCCACTGGTAAATGAAAAACTTTTGTGAACCCAAGGGACCCTACCTTATTTTATTGTATCTAAGACAGCAATGATCATAAAAGACATGAAATTCTTTTTTGTACCTTTAAGATGGGGAAAACTACCTCTGACAATATAATTGTGATGTAAGTGATGTAGGTATGTTTGGGAAGCATAGAAGAGTGTGTCAGGGAATGATTCTTAAAGAATGTGATTCTTCAACAGATTTTGGTTGACAATGCCTGATTTGAACTTTGTCCTTTAAGCAGTGGGGAATCATTACATTAATAGGTTTTAAACCGGTACAGTAGGTAGATTCATCTTGATTGTATTTCCCTTGTAGAAAGATTACATTCACGAAAGAAGGGATGGAAGATGAAGCAGAACGATAGCCAAGAGATAGAGCATTATTGTAACTGTTCTGAGTAAGAGAATGAAAGTTTGGAAAGCTTGAACTCTTAAGGGTAGTGGCAAGAAGGAAAATTTAGTTATTCTACCTGTTGACTACTAGACTAGATGTGACTATTATTGAGAGGAAGCAATTGATGATTGAGCATTTAAATAATAATTATAGATCATCTATGTGGCCAACTGAGTTTTGCTAAGTGTCAAGCCTATAGAATATGAAAACTCAAAAGGAAACAAAAAACCCCCAAAAGCATTGCTGTCATCAATTCCAACTCATAGCAGCCCTATAGGACAGAACAGAACTGCTCTATAGGGTCTCTGTCTGAGACTATAAATCTTTTTTTATTTTAAACGTTTTTATTGTGGATTGAGTGAAAGTTTACAGGGCATATCATCAGTTTTACATTCAACAAATCATACACCTTGTTTTTTCATTACATTGATTATAATCGCCTCCATGTACCATTAGTTAACAGTATTTCTCTCTATCCACTTCAGCATGTCCTTGCTACCTACCTGCAAAACACATTCGCTGTATCACACCAGTAGTACAAAAGTCTTAAATCAGCCCCAAGTCCAAAATCTCATCTTTGAAGCATTTTAATCAAATATAGATGAGACTTCAGGCATATTCCATCCTGGGGCAGAGTTCTTAGTCATCTGTGAACCTGTTAAATTTAGAATATACGGTAGCTGTGTCCTAAATTCAATGGTAGAACAGGTATGAGGTAGACATTTCCAGTACAAATGAGAGTGATTTATACTGGACAGTAAGCACAAAACAAAGCCCCAAACCCAGCAATACAGTTTACGTTAGCCCTTCTCTAATCTTTGGGACCATCTAGGCAACACCTTACAGACTCTGGGTGTTGCTCCCATCCTCTGAAGTGTGTATGGAGGTCCCTGACCCTGGGTTTCAACTCTGCCGTCCATGCCCTTTGACATAACAACTCTGATCCATTGGCTTTAGGTGGATGCATTCTTGTAGTCTGTTTGAGTGGTGACCCTTTTTCTTGCTCTGGTCAGTCTTACCCCCTCACCTTTGATGGCCGGTGCTTCTGGCATACGTTAAGGACAGAAGTTTCACACTCCAGAACTAAGTTGGTATACATCTGACTCTGAAACCTAGAAGGCTATGGCCCCACCCTTTCAGAATTGGGAGACTGTGACTCCTACGCTGTGAAGCTGAGAAAGGCCCTGCTCCTTCCATCTCCTTCCTACAGTTTTATGTCCAAGTTGTTCCAGGGATAGTCCTTTTCTTTTCTGGAAAGACAACACATGTAGTTCCTTTGGCCTCTTTCCTGCTTGTACAATTCTAAGAGACAGGCAGCACTCTCTCCTTTCATTCTTTTTCTACCCCCTTCAGCCTAAGCTGATGGGTTTTCTGCTGTGAGGGTAAGTTAGTCACAGGGTGAGCATCCTAGAACACATGCCCTTAGTTCCTAGTCTTAAATTTGTGTTTTCATTTTGCACAGTTCATTTTTAAGAGTATTTCTTTCCTTTTGCATTTTTACTATAAGCAGCAAGGAGAAACCACCTGGCCTCTTTAAGATTTTGCCTAGAAAACTCCTTAGTCAGATACTCAAGTTCATCACTTACAAGTTATTTGACAAGTGATTTGCCACTGCACAAAACGAATCATCTTTGTCCAATTACTTGTTCATCATTTTCTTTAAAGATCTCACCAGAAGCATATTTAACTTGCACATTTCTATCAGTAGTCTGTTGCTGTTGCCATATGTATTGTGAGGCCTTCTTCACCCACAGTTAAAGTCTCAGTGACCCTATAGAGTTGGAACTGGCTCTAAATCTAAAGCACTTAACAACAACAACAAAAGATAGTAAAGTCTCTCAACAGTTCTCATTTCCTTCTGCGTTCTCACCAGAATTACCGTTTATTTCCATAATTCTACCAACAGCTGTTCAAGGCAATCTAAGCCTTTAATATTGTTGTTAAGTGATATCGAGTTGGTTCTGACTCATAGCAACCCTATGTAGGGTTTCTGAGAAGTAGCTGGTGGGTTAGAACCATAGACCTTGAGATTCAAACTGACTTTGTGATTGGGTGCTTACCCTACAGTACCACACAAGGACTCTTCCAACCCCTATCTAATTACCAGTTCCAGAATTCCTTTCATGTTTTAGTTATCTGTTAGAGCAGCACCTCACTCTTTCAGTATCAAATTCTATCTTCGTTATCTAATGCTGCCATAACAGAAATACAAGTGCGTGGCTTTAATAATAAACAAATATGTTTTCTTACAGTTTAGGAGGCTAGCGGTCTAAAATTGGTATTGACCCTAGAAGAAGTTGTTTTCTATTTGCTGGCTTTGGAGGGAGATTCTTATCTCTTTGAGATCTGATCTTTCCCCATCTCTTCTTTAGCTTTCTTGTTTAATCTCTTTTATGTCTTATAAAAGGAGCTTTGGTAGTGTAGCGTTTACGAATTGGGCTACTAACCTCAAGGTCGGTAGTTCAAAACTACCAGCCATTCCTCAGGAGAAAGATGAGGTTTTCTGCTCCCGTAAAGATTGACAGCCTTGGAAACCCTGTGCAGGGTCACTATGAGTCGGAACCGAATCCACGGAACTTAACAACAGCAACAACAACAACATATAAGAGATTGACTCAAGACACATACTACACAAATCTTTCCTCATCTATATATAACAAGAACAGTATTTCCAGATAAGACTATAATTACAAGTTAAGATCTGTAAACATATTTACAGGGGACATAATTCAGTCCATAAAAGTAGATATATTGTTATTGTTAAGTACTGTTGAGTCAGTTCTGACCCAAAGCCACCCTGTATAGGCTGTCTGAGGAGTGGCTGGTGAGCTTGAACTGCTGACCTTGCAGTTCAAACTGACTTTGCAGTCTAGCGCATTAACCTACAGCGCCACACCAGGATGCCATAAAAGTAGATTTATATCCAAGAAAATTGAAAAACATATGTCTGTATAAATCTTGTACAAAAAATGTGGAAACAGCACAAATGTCTACCAACTGAATGAATATGCAAATATGGTGTATCTATATAATGAATATCTTTTGGCAATAAAAAGAAATTAAGAATTATTAACCTTGAAAGCATTATACTTGTGAGAGAAGACTGTTGTCACAAAAAAGAATATAGTGTATATTTCCATTGATATGAAATATCAAAAATATATATGTATAGAGATAGAAAGTACATTGTAATGATTATGGGATTTCTTTTTGGGGTGCAGAAAATAATCTAAAATTGATTATGGCAATGATTGTACAACTTGGTGAATGTACTTGTTGTTGTTAGTGTCGTCAAGTTGGCTCCGACCCATAGTGATCCTGTATAGGGTTTCTGAGGAGCCGCTGGTAAGCTTGAACCATGACCTTGTGGTTCAAACCATCTTTGCAGTCCAGCATATTAACCCATAGGGCCAGGGTCATACCAGGACTCCAGTGAACATACTAGAAACTACTAACTTATACATGTCAATGAGTGAATTGTGTGGTGTGTGAATTCTATCTCTATAAATCTGTTGTAAGTCTTACTATAAAACATTCTCATGAAACAAGAACTGTGACATGACTAGATCTATGCACATCCATGTTCATAACAGCCTATCAACGGAGTGATGGTGAGACAAACTTTGGTACATACATACAAGGGAATATTAGGTAATGATGAATTTGGAAAACACCTCACTACATGGAGGACCCTGGAAGACATCATGCTGAGTGAAATTAGTCAATCATAAAAGGACAAATATTGCATGAAGCCACTGTTGTAAAAAGTTAGGATTTTCTTGCAAAATGAAACCTCATTCTGTTTTGATTTGTTCTTTAATGTACTATAAAGATCAGTTTTATGTGGCTTGATGATGGTGGTGATGTGCTGTGGAGTCAGTTCCAACTCATAGTTACCCTATACAGGGTTAACGGGAGCTGACAGCCTCATCTTTGTCTTGTGGAATAGCTGGTGGTTTCAAACTGCTGACCTTGAGATTTGCAGCCTGATTCGTAACCACATTCAATCTTGGGCATGTTGTTCCTGAGGTGTACTTGCCATATCCAGTTAGGATGTTAGATAGACTAATCCAGACTCAGCAGTGAGCTCAGGGCCTTGGAAGTTATTGCCATCAAAAGATCAGGTAATACTGTGATACTGTGGTTGAATTAATTTACTTAGGGAAAAGATGGTTAATGTTGTAGGTTATTGTTGTGAAGTACCCTCAAGTCGATTCCATCCCATAGCGACCCCATATAGGGTTTCTGAGGAGCAGCTGGTGAGCTTGAACTGCCGATCCTGCAGTTTAAAGGGCTTTGCAGTCTGGCGCATTAACCCACAGTGCCACACCAGGACTCCATGTTGTAGATTAGAATAACATAAAATCAGACCAAGGAGAACGGTAACCAGGACGTGACTAAGAATGAAATGGCCGAAGACCCTGAGTCAAAAGAAGATGCAGAAGCCAAGGGGAGAGGAAAGTATGCTTGGGAACGTGTTGGCAACAGGACCAGTTATGGTTGGCCCAGAAAGGTAGATTTTAGATAAATACAAGTACCCAGGGGGAATGTATTACCCAGACCATTTGTGAGACAATTGCAGTGTCTTGGTGGTAGGAGCCAGAAGCAAGTTTCTTGCAAGGTAAAAGAGTATCCAAGTTATGAGAAAATCAAGAAGATGAGGATAAATCCATTTTCATACATTTACATGCATGGTTTCAGGAGAAAGGAGATAATTAGATGGATATGCATTCGGGTTAGGTTGGTTTTAAGTTGGAAGAGTTATCTTTTAAGTAATTGATGCTAAGAATAGTGGCTAATTATTTATGGGGAAATAGATTTAGAATGTTTTTAAACACCAATAGCAAAGTGAATTAAAAAACTAAATAGAATAAGAAGTTGCAAGGGATTTCAAAACAGTGGTGGTGGTGTTCCGGGGAGTCAGTGCTATCTCATAGCACCCCTGTGTAGGGTTTCCAAGGCTGTAAATCTTTTTGGAAGCAGAAAGCTTCCTCTTCTCCTGTAGAGCAGCTAGTAGATTCAAAATAGTAGTGAATATGAATTATTGGAAGGTTAGAGACAAGAATTTTATTTAAAATTTCAAAGCAATAGACATGAAAGGCTAAATAAAGAAGACTAAGGCGCTGTAGGATAAACACTGGAGTGCTAACTACATGGTTGGGGATTCAAATCTACCTGTCAATCTTTAGAAACCCTAGGCAAGGGTCACTGTGAGTTGGAACTGATTCGTCGGCACTTAATAATGGCAAGTGACTTTAATAAAGTCCTGGTGTTGTGGCACTATAGGAAAAGCATTGGATGCTAACTGCAGGGTTGGCAGTTCAGACCCACAAGCTGCTCCTCAGAAAAGCTACACAGGGTCACTATGAGTTGGAACTGATTCAACAGCAACAAAAACATCAACTTAATGCAATCAATATAAGATTCTTTACTGGATTTTGTATCAGAAAAGGAAACAGGTATTACTTATTAAGAACACTGCTGGGATACTGAAGTGAAAGGAAAAAGTAACAGTAAAATTAAATGGGAAAAATTAAGCAGCAATCTGGCAAAAAACTTGTCTAAATATTGAGTATGTGGTAGAGGATCAGAACAGACATTTCACCAAAGAGGAAATACATATGATTTATATACTTCATCAAGGAGTTCTGATGGCCCAGTGGCTGAGTGCTCAGCTGGTAACTAAGGTTGATTGTAGAGCCAACCCACCACTCTCTAGGAGAAAGATGTGCCACTTTGTGTCTGTAAAGATGTATAGCCTTAAAGCATATGGGGTTTGTTTTTTGGAATATACCGTTTCAAGGTAAGACGTGAGTATAGTAGGTACTTTTAACATGTGTTTAATTTAACTACTCATGTGACTATTTGTTTTTTGAATATAAAAATAGATACTGTATATAGAATGAGGGTCTCATGAATGTCATTTATGTTCATGAATCTTCACTGGTAATATGTCATCTTCCTTTTGTGAATCTGAGTGTATCCCTTTCCAGAAAATATAAATTTGCCTTTATGTGGTTTTAAAAATTGAGTTGGGAAACTAGGAAACCATTAAATACAAACTCAGTTTCTAGTATTTTTGGACCATATATACTTTCTGCTTATAAAGACAGATCCAATAGTTGACATTTATTCATTTACATTATGAGAAGGAGGCTTCAGAAACGTAATGGAAAAATTCTATTACCTTTTCATTCCATTTTTCCTTGAAACTTTTTGAAGTCCCTTGGTATTTACTGGGCACCATCTACATGCTATGTATCTTGAAGTGTTAACTCAGATGAAAAAGATGCTTACAGTCCCATTGGACTTGTCAGCTGAATCCTGTGTATTTGATGAAATCTATGGTGTCCTAAGAGGTCTCCATAGCAGATTCTCTTTCAGAAAATGACATTTTAAATATTTCCACAGATACAATGTATCTGTAATAATGTAATAAGGATTACATTTGTAATAGATATTTTATGTACAACTAAATTAGTGACATTTTAAACAACAGGACTTTTATTCTATAATTTTGCAGTTGATAAAAATGGTGATGTGTGCATTTCTATTCTTCATGAGCCTGGGGAAGATAAGTATGGTTACGAGAAGCCAGAGGAACGCTGGCTCCCCATCCACACCGTGGAAACCATCATGATTAGTGTCATTTCTATGCTGGCAGACCCTAACGGAGACTCACCTGCTAATGTCGACGCTGCGGTAAGGTGACCCCATGCACACTGCCTCAGATCTATAGAAAAGTTGGGTTAGTTAAACTCCTCCCCTATACCTTCACCTAGATTCACTAATCATAGAGACTTTGTCATTTTGGGGGAGATAAACAGTGGACTGCAGGGTTGGTTTGAATTGCAAGGTAGGCAGCTCAAACTCAACCAGCCCCTCCTCAGAAACACTATACAGGCTTGCTGTGTTGTTTTGTGTAAGTATAATACAGCCAGTCATTGATAGGGTACTATTATTGAATATGCATAGTTCATATATACATTTCTCTTACATTTTTTATAGCTTCCCGTGTTTTGTTTTTGTTAAGTCCAGAGTGTAGTCCAGGAACATGTACTAAACTTTGTATTTATGTTTCATTAGTGTTTCTTTAAATAGTTCCTCATCATTCTCCCCTTCTTTTGAATAAACCCTTTTTTCTAATTCTTATTCTTAGAGCTTTTTTTGGTGTGTTATCAAAGGGAACAGATTAAATTCACCTTCACCTCCCCCCCCCCCTTGGGTTAATTCCAAGCCTACTCTATAAAAACATTGTGTGAGATCTTATATGTAGAAAAAAATTGTAGAATGTATTTCTTTTTAAATGTGGCTTTGGGTTTTTTCTTTTAGTAATCTAATTTAACTAAAAACTGGCAGAAAACCACTTGAACTTCGTATTTAGTTATTAATCCAAACAGGCAAGGGAGAAAGGAAAATAACTACTTAAAAGTTCTATGAAATAATTTTGAGAGAGAACTAAGTGTGGTTGTTAGGTGCTATTGAGTCAGTTCTGACTCATAGCTAGCCTGTGTACAACAGAATGAAATGTTTGTTTGTGTAGTGGTAGGAATGTTAGAACCTGTCTGACTTAAAAGGGGGCTAGTGACTAGGCTCCGCCCCAAGCTGATTCCCATGTGTTGGAGGCACATCTCCACTCTCCTAACTTTGAATTTTTAATTCTGACGTAGCAGTCCCTCACGCAGCATTCCCGATTTCTCTGCTGGGCCACACACAACTCATAGGTAAGAGTTTTAAGTGGCCTATTAAGGAAGTAGCAGGGTACATCTTGAGATCAGGATTAGGAGAATGTAGGCAGTGTCAGGAGGCTCCTGTTAAAAGGCGACCACATCCGTCCCTTCTTTAGTGCACCACCACACTCAGCTCTACAGGTCTCCTCTTGGCCCCCTGGGACAGCTTTCTTGGCCCTGCTGTCTGTCACCACTGGCTCTATGGTGGGGTCCCTTCTGGCCCTATCACTGTCTTCAGTGTTTACAGCCCTTGAATGTGTTGTAGCTCTTTAAGGAGGTTCCTAGGTTCCTTGTCTTCTCTCTTTCCTTTCTTTTGTTTCTTCCTGCTATCTGTCTGTCTTAATGGAAAACTTCTGTGGGGTTGCCTGTACATGTATACACACTTCTTATCATCAAGGGCATGGCCCTTACACCAGGGCAATGAACTGACCAATTCACTGTTGGTAGGCAACAGGTACTTCATTTGCATAATTAACTATAGTCACTTCAATTGTATAGTATATTGACCAATATCTGCAAGATGATACTAATCACATGGCAGCTTGCAGGCCAGGGCCAGATAAAAAGTATAGTATCTCAAGTTGTGAACAGCTTGCCCAGAAAATGTCAGTCAACCTGTGACAACAGTTAACACCTTTCTGGCTTAGAAAATTAGGGCAAAAGTAACTTCAGAGTTTAGGGGGGTAAATCTCTCAAATTGTTTCTCCAAAGAACCAAGGCAAAACAACCTTTTATAAAGAATCTCACTTGACCCACTGTTTCATTAGGTTCTTGCTCAAGACCTGCTCTTTTAATAAGACCAGAATGGACAAGTTGCATTTTAATTTTCTAAAAAGGTACATTAAAAGCAAATAATGGAGAATATAAACATGCCAAAATTATTAGCCCTTCAGAATAGTACAAAAAAGTTAGGTACTGAAACAACAGAAGCTACTGAAAAAGTAAAATCATTTTCTTGTTGCTAAACAACTTTTCATCGACCTTAATACGAAGTTGAATGTACAAAATATGGCTTCTAGCTTATACACCACAAATTGTGTAAAAATGTATTCCATTCTTATTCATGAAACTCACTAATCCCTTTTCTAGTTTAACTAAGCTATGTCATACTTAAGTAAATCATAACATTCTTACAAACAGTTTATTTACCGTATTTGATTATTCTTCAGGCATGCAATACTTGTACTCATCTTTTGTTTTTCTCATCTCTCACTCAGTGGTACTGATTCTAGGAAATGCCCATTTTTGTTGCAGAGCTTTTTCCTGGATCTCTTTATCTTCTGTGTCAAAACTCACTCTCAGTACTCAACCCAGCTGCTTTCCTTGGGTTTTCCCCTTCCTGAAATTCTTTAATGGCCCTTCTTCTCTTTCCTAGATCCCATTTCTTCTTTTTCTGTTGGTTGACTTCCTCCTTTTTCTGTACTTCATCCTAGAGTCATGTTTTAGAAAGGTTATGTGATAATTAAATTGATTCCTTTTGTATCTAAAAGTGTTTTATACTTGTAGCAACAACAATACTTTGTTTATAGGAGAAATAAATAAAATTTCCACAAATTTATCTTTCAGCTTTTATTGATGCTGAAAAGAAGGTTGATGCCACACTGAATCTTGTCTAGTTTCAGAGAAGAATCTCTTTTATCAGCTTCCTGTTCAGTTATTTTCTTGATCCTTGGTATTGTGAATTTTCAATGTTTGTAAATAATATAGAGATTTTTTTTTTTTTTTAAATTTCTATTTGATATATGCTCTTTCAGTCAGAAGACTTCTAGCTATGGAAATGTTTCTAATCTTTGTTGACTCCTTCCTCCTCCCCTCCCCCCCCATATTTAATATTCTCCCCTTTCTTGAACTTGTTTAGTTGGTACCTAGATTGATCCTTAATTGAATTTTATATTTTTCATCTAAAAGAGTATAAGTTTTGAATTTAATTTCTAATAGCCTCTTGTTATGTTATCTCCATGGTTTTTTTTTTGTTTTTGTTTTTTTTTGAGTCTTAACACCATTTAATTAATTTAATAGTATCTTGAGTTTTTTAGGAATATTATAATGAAAGTATAATGAAAGATTTTTTAAAAATTAAGCTTATTGAGTTCTGTTTTTTATATTACTTCTTTTGTATTTTGAAGACTACTGCACTCAGTAGTTGTTCTATGCAGTTGTCCATTCATATTTTAGAAATGAGGGTGTAAGTAAGCAGACTGGAACTTTGTGTGTGTGTGTGTATGGTGGGTAAGGGCAATATTTACTTATCGACAAGTTTTACTCAAGGGTATTGTAGGTAGAAAGCTAAGAGTAAGAGTAGGGGAAAATGGGTATCAAATGAAGATTAAATGCCAAGTGAAGGGAGTGATTATTCTCATTATCAACATCCACAGTAGCAGCCCTATTTCTTATACTCTTTAATATGTTTATGTAAAGTCTGTATATCATCATTATTATTATTTTAGAAAGATGTTGTACTTGTCAGTCATCTGTACATCTCTCTAAACTCTTCCACCTATCTGCCATTGACTTCAGTCCTTTTTACTTCCTACTTTTGGAGAATATCTCCAAAAGATCAGAATGTTCTCGTATGTAATCATACAACCATTATCTTACCTAACCAAATTAACTATAATTCCATAATATATTCAAATGACCTGTTTGCAGTCATATTTCTCTAATTGTTCCCATAATGTTCAAAACTATTTCCTTCTTTAAGCCGAATGAGAATTGAAAGAACTGAAAGACTTTCCTGGTGTCTAGCCTGGATAAGTTCCCTTCTTCCATGGTTCCATTATACTTTAGCTCACAGTTTATTGTAATGAGTGGCTTACTGGTGTATTTTGTTTGGAGGACAACACTCACTTGTTGAATCTCTTCCTCTAAAAGGGCAAGGATTAGAAAGTCCTATAATCTTTGCTGTCCTACCTGAATGGTATTGCAAAACTGAAAAAATTGAGCATTTTGTAAGAATTTTCTGCTATTCCACATTAGGTAAAATCAGCTCGGTTCTCATGTGAAATTACCTTAATGCTATTTTGTGTTCCATTTTTATGCTCCTGGAAGCAGTAGTTTATTATGTGTACGTGTTTTATTTTTGGTCTTAGAAATAGTATGCAGTATCATCTCAGTATGACACAGGCATCTCTCCACTCATTTACTTTATACATAATGCATTTCATGTTCAATTTACTTTCTGGGAGAGCTAGTAATCCTTCAGATAACCTAAATGTCTCTTAGAAAATTATAGCTATCTTTTTACTGTACAGACAGTCCTCAGATTATAAATGCTGGCTTCTATGTTTAAGTCGAATTTGAACTTTGAGTCAGTTCCAATTCATAGCGACCTTGTGACTTGAAGTCCACTGCTGACCTTCCATCGCCACAGCCTGTGGCCTTGAAGTACGTTATGTAGTTCAGATCTGTCAGTTAGCCAAATGTTTGTCTTAGTATAGAATAGACTTTTCTATGCATTTTAAAAAAATATGCAAAAAATACATGGCCAGATACATTAAAATATCTTTAGTAAAATAATGACAATAATAATAATGTGTTGATACATGTCACAAAGTAGTACCCATTTGTTAGTACAAACCATTGTGAGATACCTTGAATTTTTGATATAATAGGCTTTATTGGCAGTTGGTTTTCAACTGCAGGTCCTATGTGAGTTGGACATTTGTCACCTGGGGGCTGCTGGTATTCATTTAGAACTTAAATGGGTTTTTTTGGTGGCTTTTTCCTTTTTAAAGAGAATTTTAACTGTATGGTTCCTTTTCATAGGAGATTTCTCCCAGCAGAGTACCATGTAGAAGGATTTTTAGTGCTTTCCTATCTTATCTACTTTTAACATCATAAATTACCCAAACCTTACATTCAATATTAGAATAGTCTTTGGGATTATAAGGAGAGTTTGCATAAAATCATTTGATGACTTTTATACCTACAGAAAGAATGGAGGGAAGACCGAAATGGAGAATTCAAAAGGAAAGTTGCTCGCTGTGTAAGAAAAAGCCAAGAGACTGCTTTTGAGTGACACTTATTCAGCAGCTAGTAACTTCACTTATTTCAGGGTAAGTTCATTTTTTTTCCATTTTCTAAATGCAATATATATGCTTTGGGAAGTGATGTGATTTCAGTATTTGAATTGCTTCTGGTCATCAACTTGGTTTTTGATAATGCTATCCAGTAGCCTGGAGATTCTCAAGGATTTGGTGCTGTTTTCCTCCTTTAGTTAATCGTTTATAGCTAGATATTCTCTTAAAATAGTTGGCATGTTCAGTGTCTACAACCCTGAGACACAGAATTAGATGGTGCTCAGCTACCCCTACCAACTGCTCTAAACGGGTCACATTAGAAGCTCCCGGACAGAATGGGAGAAAAGTAAGAAACAATACTCAGAGTTATTTTTTTTAAAAAAGACCAGGTTTACTGTTAGAAATTGGTGGAACCTCAAGGCTATGACCCTCAGTCACCTGTCAGGTCTGGAATTGAACTCACCCCTGTGCTTCAGTTTTCAGCCAAGTAGTAGAAGGCTCTATGAGAAGAACAGTAACACTAGAGAGGTATGCACACCTTAGAATAATCTACCTTTTGAGATCAAAAGTGTAGCATTTGTCCAAATACAAAGTGCAGAGGAGTTAGGAAAGGAGAAATGAATACAAGGAACACAGGGAAGAAGAAGTGGGCTAAGTAATAGTACAATGAGAGGATTGCAGTCCAGCAAGATGAAACAAAATGTGTATGAATTATCATATGTAAAACTGATGATCTACTCCATAAACTTTCACCCATTTCACAATAAAAAGGTAAAAAACAAATGTTTCTTTTTACTGCTATTAAAGCCCTTGCTTTATTTACTTTCTTCTGTTTTACCTTTTTGGTCTACCATTTTGACCATTGCTGGACACTGAAGTTTCTTACATTTTCTCATGTTAAATTATGTATGGTAAGGGATGACATGACATCAATGTCTCTTAAACTGTTTTTGAAAGAAAGGTCTTATTTCATTATATACTGCCAATACTAGTAACTATCTACCATTTTTTACATCAGTTGGTCTTTATCTCCTTCTTCATAAAATTTTCCTTTTATTGCATAGAACATCAGATTTCAAGTTTATCTTAGGTCTAGCAGACCTATTTAGAGTAGGACACAGAATTGATTACACATATTTTAAACTGTGTGGTGCTGCAGGATAATGCACTGGTCTCATAGGTCAGTTTGACTCACCAAGTCAGTGATTCAAACTTACTAGCCGCTCCTTGGAAACCCTTTACAGAGTTGTTGTGAGTCAGAATCAACTCAATGGCACTTAACAACAAGTTTTAAACTGTGTATATGTGGAATTATGATGTATATATTCTTTTGTGAGTTTTATTATTTATGTATTTTGTGACTTCTGTTGCTCAACATTTTATTCTTAAAATTCTTATTGTTGTGTGTATTTCATCTGTTTCCACTGTTGGATTTCATTATATATATTACCTGTCTCCTCTTGATTCTCATTGCACTTACTTTTCAACCTGGGACAGGAAAGATAATGTGTCAGGGCTGTTTTAAAGGGTATGGCTATCTTTGTTTTCTGCTGCACATAAACCACAAGAGTTTCTGTAGGATAACCACCCAGGAGTGGAATTACTGAGTTAAGAGTACATCCACAGCACTTCAATGAGATAATGTCAAATTGTTTTTCAAAGCCCTGCATGCCTTTATTTGTTTCATGTTCTCTGTAATATTTGATAACATCAGACTTGGGGGCATATTTTTAAATCTGGAGAGTGCACAGTGGTATGTCATTGTGGTCTTCATGTGCATTGCCCTGATTACTAATATAATTGCATTATCAGTTCATGCTTCCTGTGTGAAATGCAAGTTGAGGTTTTTGTCCTCTTTCTGTTAGCTTTCTATTATTTCTATTTAGACTCCTAGGATTGTCTTGTTGGTATCTTTGGAAAACAGGTTTTTTTAAATTTTAATGCATTTGTACTTATTAATCCTTTTAACTTTGCCTTTCATAACAGTTGAATACACTTTGATTGATTTTTCATATGGTATCAAGTTAGGGGTTCATCTTCATTTGAACAGTTGATTGATTGCAGCATTTATTGACAGATTCATCCTTTTACCACTCATGTAGAATACTGATTATGTTTAAAAAATCACATATCCAGATACATGTGGTTCTGGTTGTCCCCTCTGTATTTTGCTGGTTTATTTGCCTATTCTGGAACCTATATTATAGGGTCTTAACTTCTATTTGTTATTTTCATTGTTAATTGTATCAAATGCAATTGTGCAATTCAGAAGCAAGGGTAAAGTTTATATACCACTCATCCTGCTTTCATGTTTGGTAACTCTGGTTTTTTATGAGGTTTATATGTTCTTTGCTAGTTCCTTGTGATAACTTTAAGATGCTGAAAATAAAACTGAATTTCCCTTTTACAACCAAATATATCATAACCGTACATCTTTCAAATAATTTGTTTCTATCTTTCCTCTTTGTTTTTGTTCTGTATTGACTAATAATCCTGACCTTGTTTTATTGTCATTACAACTGATCCCTTACATCTAGCCAGTGGTCCATGAATCTGGTCTTTTCCCTACTTTTGACTCTCGGCCTGCCACCACTTGAGAACAACTTTGGGTTCCCTTCTTTGTTATTCTACTTTTTAAATGATTACTATCAAATTAATTTTGTTGTAGTTTGGGTAAAAGCTTATGTAACATCGTTTTCCATCCAACAGTTTACACACATTTTGTTTGCATGAAGCTAATTACAAACCCCTCAGTATAACAGCATTCTTCCCACTTCCTCCCTGGGCTCCTTTGTTTGCTATTGGCAGTTGCAGCCCTTCTGGTCTCTCATACAGTCCATGTTTGCAGAAATATGCTCTTCATGTGTGTTACTGTTCACTCTGTGGGCCTGCCTGTTGTTTGGCTGTACAGTGATTCCCAGAGGTGGATTTAGTTCCAGGTTTGAAGGGTGTCTAATGACCATAATCTTAGGTGTTCCTCTAATCTCTGACAGATGAGTAAGTATGAACTACGTTATGCCAGTTGACTTAGATATCTATCCCCCAACACTATTATCCTAAGCCCCCAGCCCAATGGATCGTTTCATTAGGTACTTAGTTATGGCTAAGAAGTTTTTATAACTTTTGCCTCTGTATACTTTAGTAGGAATCCTGGTGTGGCACTGTAGGCTAATCACTGGACTAATAACCTCAAGGTCAATGGTGTAAACCTACCAGCTGCTCCTAGGAAACCCTATACAGGGTTACTGAGTTGGAATAGACTCAGCATCACTTTAAAACAGCAACAACAACAGGAAATCTTTTCTGAAGCAGAAAACCTATGTTGTTGTTAGTTGTAGTCATGGTTCCGACTCACAGGGACCCTTTGTACAACAGAACAAAACACTGCTTCCAAACTCATTCAGGTGGTTATTGACAGAGTCAGTTTCTCACTGGCTGGCTGAAATCCTTGCTCAGCTCTTCATAGATTAGCTCACAATGAGCCAATTGGTTTCATCAGAGGAGGGAAACAAGTAAGAGTGAGAAAAATGGTGAATTATGTATAGAGTATGTTTCAGTTTCTTTTCCAGAGGGTAGGGATCATGTTGCCTAATAGCTGAGTGCCTTTCTGGAATTGTCCTCCACTAAAAAGGCAGTCGTTAGAACTGAGCAAAGGGATATTGAATAGTTCAAAATCAGGAAAGATAATGTGTCAGGGTTGTTATCCTTTCATCTTATTTTTTCAGTCTGCATACTGAGCAGATAATCTGAGAAGCTGGATTATATGATGAAGAACCTGGCATTTGGACTGGAGGAAGTCTTATTAATAATTTGTGATAAGTAGGTGATACAGCCTTGCTTACTGGAAGTGAAGACAACATGAAATACTCACTGATAAAAATCAAAGACTTCCGTATAGACTGTACCTAAGTTTAAAGAAAACAGAAATCCTCACAACAGGACCAATAAATGACATCATGATAAATGAATTAAATTTGGAGTTGACAAAGACTTCATTTGACTTGAATCCACAATCTATGCTCAGAAATAGCAGTTAAGAAATCAAAAGCTGTATTGTCTTAGGCCAGTCTGCTGTAAAAGACTTTGTCAAAGAGTTAAGAGCAAAGATGTTACTTGAGGACTAAGGTGCACCAAACCTGAGCCATGAATATTTTTAGTTGCCTCATATCTATGTGAAAGTCCGACAGTAAATAGGAAGATGCATGTGAATCATGGTTTTGGCAAAGAATATTCAGAGTATTGTGGACTGCCAGAAGAACAAACAAATTGGTCTCAGGAAATACAGCCAGGTGCTCCTGAGAAGTGGAGGAAGGTGAGACTACTCTCGTACTTTGCACATATTATCAGAAGGGACCAGTCCCTGGAGAAAGACACCATGCTTGGTAAAGTGGAAGGTCAGTGAAAAAGAGGAAGACCTCCAGTGAGATGATGGATTGACACAAAAGTAGAGACAATAAATGGGCTCCGAAACCTAGCAATAATTGTGAGAATTGTTCAGGAATTGAATGTATTATTCTGCTGTACATAGGGATGCTGTAGATGTTGGCGTCTGAATAACAACAACAAAAATAGATGACGTTCCCTGGTTATTCCTGCTCCCCTTGAGTCCCTGCATCCAGTGACTGGTACATTTGGAAGTGAGGGAGATTGGCACAAAGACTTGGACAGCCATAGCTCTTGCCTCACCTTGGAAATTCTCAGAAAGTTCATTTCAGTAGGATTGATTAAGGCTGTTGATTGGACTGTCCCCTGGGTTCATTTCCCTCTTCTCCCTCATTCTTGTTTCTGGGACACTTCCCAGTAAACCTTCTACAAGCAAATCTCTGCTTCACAATCTGTTTCCCAGGGAACCTGACCCAGAATGCTAGACACTGTGGAGCCCAGAACAATAAGATAGAAGACTTGTACATTTACCTAAGTTGCTGCAGGTGTGTGTGAGTGAATCCAGAATCATTTCTCACAAGTAATGTTAATCTTGGTTAATGATGCTAACTTCCCCTCAGTTCAGAGGATGTCTGCCAGGTTTCCTCATTGTA